ATGAGCGCACAAAGGACTTCTGTCATCCTGAGAGACAGAACAAAACCTGGGGGTGAGGCGGTCTCCCTGAGGGGGGCGTTGACCAAAAAACTCATGGACATGGCCAACAGTGTGGTGATTCCGAGGGGGAAGAGGTATGCGGGGATAAATGATGATGGAAAAAATAAATAACTTGTTCTTGCCTTGGGTTAATTGATTTCAATTAAAGACCTATAGAGTACTTAGTATGTATAAAGCTTAGTGATCATCAGTCCAAAAGTACAAAATGGATAGGAGATAAATACGGTATAAATAATAAGACCCCAAAGCTGAATAAAGTGAATCTCTTAAGACCAACATCTGTGAGTTAAGGTCACAGAAATAATCCCCAGTTAGAAAATAAGAAATAAATTCATTGAGATCTGGCAATTTAATGGAGACTTGAAGCATGGGTAGGATTTTACCAAATGATGTTGGGAAAAAGGACATAATGGGAAGGAAGGAACATAAATTAGAGCCTAGAGGAGAGATAGATACAAGGGTAAATTCTTGGGCAAACATTTCAGTACTAGAGGCCTGGTGCATGAATTCGTGCACAGGTGGGGTCCCTAGGCCTGGCCGGCGATCAGGGCCAATCAGGGCTGGGCCAATCGGGGCCTGCCGGCCAGGGGGAGGGATGGGGCGCGGGAGGTTGGCTGCCAGCTCCAGGGAGGGAGCTGGCCTTTGGCCCCCCTGGGAAAGGGATCTACCACCACCCACCCCCAAATCCCTGTCCCAGCCCAGGGCTGAAGGTGACGGTTGCCAGCCAGCGCGGAAGCAACAGACACCAGCTGCCAACACTGTGGGAGCACACTGACCACTAGGGGGCAGCTCCTGTGTTGAGCGTCTGCCCCCTGATGGTCAGTGCGCATCATAGCGACTGGTCGACCGGTCGTTCTGGTCATTCAGTCCTAACGGTTGCTTAGGTTTTTATATATATAGATTAACATAGCATAGGATCAACTCTGTGGTATGTTGACAATTTCCCATTTCCTCAGACCTCTTTTGGAATGTCTGGTTCTGCTGTTTGCTTTAGTTCAAAAGCCATTCCTTAAATGTTCACGAAGTAATCAGCACTCTAAGTCACTCACAGAGATAAGTGTTCTCTTTTACTATGTGCTTAGAGTTCTCATTAGAATCTTGGAGTGGAGCATCTTTCTAATGTTGTCTTTGTATAGTTTTCCTTTCCATTTCTCCGTTGAAGATGAATGATTCAAAGAATCCAGATAATGCTTGTGAAAATATACTCCATCTTAAGGGAAAGTGAAAATCACGCCTGGTTCCAAAAAGCTCTGGAAATGTCAGAGTTTTCTGTGTGTGGCAGTAGCTGTGATGTACCCACTCCTACAGGCCTCTCTCCCAGCTCACTTAGTGCCACAGGAACTAATGAAGCCCATTAAAAAAATGTATCGAACATCCCTGGCTGAGTGGCTCAGTTAATTGGAGCATTGTCTGGTACACCAAAATGTTGTGGGTTTGATTCCTGGTTAGGGCATATACCTAGATTGGTAGTTTGATATCTCTCTCTCTCTAAATCAATAAAAACATATCCTCGGGTGAGGATTTTAAAAAAATGTATTGAACCAATTAGTTTCATCATTTTTCTTCCTAAGTTCAGCCTGATCTGAACTTTGTAAGCCATTTGACTGTAATTTGATTTTGTGACTTGATGTTAGATATGCAGTGAATTACTGAGATAATTGCCAACCTATCTCCTTTTCTTTTTTAATCCTTACCGAGGACATGTTTTTTAATTGATTTTTTTAAGAGAAAGAGGAAAAGAGAGAGAGAGAGAGAGAGAGAGAGAGAGAGAGAGAGAGAGAGCAATCTCTTGCCCTATACACACGACTGGGGCCAGCTAAGGGGATTGAACCTGCAAACCAGGTGTGTGCCCTGACTGGGAATCAAACCCGCCGTCTTTCAGTGCATGGGATGATGCATCAGCCAACTGAGCCACACTGTCCAGGGCTGTCTTCTTAGCCAACTGAGCCACACTGTCCAGGGCTGTCTTCTTATTTTTAAAGCTAATGGGTGAAAAGAAAAAGGAAATACACAGATGATTGTAAATTGTTTAATAAACTTTTAAAAATCATTTTTTTTCTTCCTGTCTTAAATGTAGAACAAATATGCAGAGGTCTTTATTGTTATTTTTTTTGTTAGTACTTTTTTCTTGTTTAGTTTACTTTTTATTTTATTTTATTTTTTTAAAAATATATTTTTATTGATTTCAGAGAGGAAGGGAGAGGGAGAGAGAGAATCATTGATCAGCTGCTTCCCCCATGCCCCCTCATCGGGGACCAAGTCTGCAACCTGGACATGTGCCCTTGACCGGAATCCAAACCGGGACCCTTCAGTCCGCAGGCTGACGCTCTATCCACTGAGCCAAACCACCTAGGGCTGTTTAGTTTACTTTTTATTTGTTTTTAAAAGGCTGTATATTTTTAGAGCAGTTTCAGGTTCACAGGAAAATTGAGAGGGAGTTACAGAGATTTCCCATATATTCCCTACCCCCACACATGCACAGCCTCCTCCAGACGGTACTTTTGTTACGATTGATGAACCTACATTGACACATCATAATCACCCAAAGTCCATACTTTATATTAGGGTTCACTCTTGGTGATGTACATTCTTCGGGCTTGGGAAAATGTATAGTTACGTATCTAACATTATAGCATCATATAGAGTATTTTAAGTGCCCTAAAATTCCTCTGTGTTCAGCTTATATGTCTCTCCACTTCTTTTTATTTTTCAAACTATTGCAAGTGTAGCTGGTGACTTAATTAATTGTGAATAATCTGGGATTGGAAGTTTTAATTTTTACAAATTGATTTAATTGGATCAGGTCAACATTTCTGTGTTACATATAAAGCAGAAATAGTGTAAAAGAAAAACATTTTCTTTTGGTAGTAATAGAAATTGCTCAATACACAATGTGAAGAATTCTTGATTCTTTCTCCTGAAAATTAGTAATCAATACTCTTCAAGTGTTTTCTGTGTTTTGGCAGATACTGACAATGTGAAGCCATTGGAGGGTATAAAAGTTCTGGATCTAACAAGGTTTGTATTGGCCTATCTGTTTTTTGGTGGTTGAGTTTTAACTTCTCAAAAAATATTCATCTTTTGTATTATAAGAGGGTGCTTATATGCTTAGTATCAAAATTTTGGAAAGAAAAAAATTCCTGTAATTTTATCATTCTAAACGACAATTAGTATAATACTTATGCATTTCTTCCCAATCTGCATATTTAAATATATTTTTAAAAACAAATATTTGAACCATATTGAAATGATAGTTTTACCCATATTTTAAATATTATGTTATATTTTTAATGTGTCCCTGTCATTCAAAATTCAATAAAAATATACAATATTTTATTATATAGTTGTCACAAAATTTATCTTCCCCCAATATTTCACTATTATAAGGTAGGTTTCCTATTACATAAATCTTTGTCTCAGTAATCTTTTAACTTCTTCCTTAGGATAGAATTCTGGAAGTAGAATTACTACATCCAAGGGGAATATACTTTTTAAAACTCTTGATACATATGGCCAAATTACATTTTGGACAGTTTTATCAATTTTAATTCTTGCTATCATTATATAAGCTTGTCTGTGTTGATGGACTATTAAGAAAATTAATATAAAAATCTTCAAGGTGGTAATTTATATCATCGTTTAACATTGTAGAGTATTGGCAGGACCTTTTGCTACGATGAATTTAGGAGATCTTGGAGCAGAAGTTATAAAAGTGGAAAGACCAGGTAAAATTATTGCTACCTTTAAAACATAAAAACAAATGAATAAGTATTTTTAATAGTTTAAAAAATGTCCACGTACCTGCATATGGGATGAAGAAAGAATTGAAATGAAATGATTTTCTCTTCTCCATTCCTTATTTTCTTCTGGACCTAGCCTAATCATCTCTTTTTATTCTTTAAAAAAAATATTTTTTTTGATTTCAGAGAGGAGGGGAGAGGGAGAGAGAGAGAGAAACATCAATGATGAGAGAGAATCATTGGTTGGCTGCCTCCTGCACACCCCACTCTGGGGATTGAGCCCGCAACCCCGGGCATGTGTTCTGACTGGGAATTGAACTGTGACCTCCTGGTTCATAGGTCAGCACTCAACCACTGAGCCACGCTAGCCAGGCTCCACAGATTAAGGCCTAAGCCAGGTCTTTCACACACATGTGAAAGCCTCTGGTGGAAACTGAGATGCCAACAACACTTACCAGATGCCAAGCACATATATAAGCACTTTGCCTAGATTAATTTATTTAATCTTTACATTACCCTTATGGGCTGATGTTATTATTCCTAGATTATGAATGAGAAGACAGAGACACAGAGAGATAAAGCAATTCATCCAAGGTCACACAGCTAAGAAGGAATATCCAGGCACTCAGGTCTGGTTCTGGCTCTGCTTAGGCCCACACAAGCCTTACTGTTGAGACTGAGATTGGACGGAGCCTGGCCACACTCCCTCCTGTGGGATGAAAACGAAATCAAAGTCCCGGAAAAAAGAAACCCAAATACCCTAACCTAAGTCATTTTTTTCCTATTTTTAATAAAAGAAACACTTTTCCATTTTATAATTTTAAAGATTTTTAGGGAAAACACCTAAGCTTTGTTTTTATGTTTCTCATCTGACATCTTTCCGGTTCTTTTTTCCCCCTTTGTTTATCAAATAAATGTATTTTGTGTATACAATTCTCACTTTTATTTGGTACCTTCTTAGCATTTTGGTGTTCAGTTCATGCTATTATTGACACTTAGAAAAGTGTCATGTTGTGTGTTCTTTCCTCCAACAAGAGCTCAGAGCAGAGTCTGTGTTCTCTATGTCCTCTACATCCTATCTAATAAAGAGGGAATATGCTAATTGACCCTCACGCTGTTGCAAAGATGGTGGTGCCCACAGCCAATAAGGAGGGACTATCCTAATTGACTGCCCTACCCTCAAAGATGGCAGCACCCACAGCCACAAGATGGCCAGCAGGGGAGGGCAGTTGTGGGTCATCAGGCCAGCAGGGGAGGGCAAGATGGCCAGCAGGGGAGGGCAGTTAGGGTCGACCAGGCCAGCAGGGGAGAGTAGTTGCGGGGGACCAGGCCTGCAGGGGAGGGCATTGGGGGAACCAGGCCTGCAGGGGAGGGCAGTTTGGGGCGATTGGCCAGCAGGGGAGCAGTTTGGCGTCGATCAGGCTGGCAGGGGAGTGGTTAGGGGTGATCAGGCTGGCAGGCAGAAGCGGTTAGGGGCAATCAGGCAGACCGGCAGGCGAGCGGTTGGGAGCCAGCAGTCCCAGATTGTGAGAGGGAAGTCCGACTGCTGGTTTAGGCCCGATCCCTGTGGGCAGTTGGCAGTTGGACATCCCCTGAGGGGTCCCAGATTGGAGAGGGTGCAGGCTGGGCTGAGGGACACCCCCCCAGTGCACGAATTTTGTGCACCGGGCCTCTAGTCATCCTATAAAAAGCTTTTCTGGGAAGGTTTCAAAAATTAGCATTATTACTTATTCTTCAAGATCTAATCCTTATAGATTTGAAACAGAATTTCCAAATCAGTGAAAATGGTCTAGTTTTGAATTGCACACATGTATCTATAAGACAAGGGACTAATTTTATAATTATATCAGCTTATTAATTCACCATAGTGATTAAATGGATAAAGTAGAATACTTGATTTGGAAGATTCAACTTTTTGCTAAATACATCTACTTAGGAGCCAAAGCAGTTAGCAGAAGATTCTCTGATCAGCATGGGGACTCTCTCTATATATATAAAAGGCTAAGTGACCGTCAGACTGGCCAGTACCTATGATGCACACTCACCACCAGGGGGCAGACACTCAATGCAGGACCTGCTGAGCTGCCGTGACTTGACAGCAGTAGTTCTCAGGTGACACACCCCGGAACCAGAGAGGAGGGAGCCCGATTTCTTGCAGGGCCGTGCGATTTCACCTCCAGCCATGGGTTATGTTGTTGCTGGGGCACTGTGGGCCCTGAATCTGGTTTACTGCACACTTGCGTTTGCGTTCCACACCCTATTCAATAGCAACTTTGCAGAGTGCTCTCTCCCACTCTGGATCCCCTTGGGGCCGTGGTCGGCAAACCGCGGCTCGCGAGCCACATGCGGCCCCTTGAGTGTGACTCTTCTGCAAAATACCACGTGCGGGCGCGCATGTACAGTGCGATTGAAACTTCATGGCCCATGCGCAGAAGTCGGTATTTTGTGGAAGAGACACACCCAAGGGACCAAAGAGCCACATGTGGCTCGGGAGCCTCGGTTTGCTGAGCCGCAGTTTGCCGACCACTGCCTTGGGGGATGTCAAGGAACCCGTTTCAGCCCGACCCCCACAGGCCAGGCCGAGAGAACCCCACCTGCCAGACAGATCTTTTTTTTATTTATTTTTATTGCTTAAAGTATTACAAAGAGTATTACATATGTCTCCTTTTTTCCCCCCCGCCCTTGTCAATCCCTGGCCTCCTCTACCCCCAGTGTCTATGTCATGGTATGCTTATATGCATGCATACA